TCTGCCTTTTTTTTGTTTTTTTTTTTTGGTACCGGGGATCGAACTCGGGTCCTTGTGCTTGCGAGGCAGATGGCAGAACCACTGAACTAAATCCCCAGCTGAGGGAGCTCCATTTTGAATGGAGGCCTCCTGGAGGTGGTGGTTTTGAGCCAGTGGGAAGGATGCTGTGGACATGGATTAGGGACGGAATGTGTAGTGAAAAGGTGATTATTGTGACTGTATCCACTTGGGAATAACTGCCTCACCCCAGACCTTTGTTACTGTCTCTGTCTCTCTGTCTCTCTACTGAGAATTCAACCCAGAGCCTTCAAACTGAGCTGCATCCCCAGACTTTTTAAAAATTTTTCTATTTTGAGTCAGGGTCTTAGTAAATTACTGAATCTCCCGGCCTCATGATCTTCCTGCTTCAGCCTCCTCAGAGTTTCTTTGTGTTTTGTTTGTTTTTTGAGACAGGATCTCACTATGTAGTTGAGAATGACCTGGAGCTCACTATGTAGTCCTTGGTCTCGAACTCACAGGGATCCTCCTGCCTCAGCCTCCTGAGGTCTGGGATTACAGATATGTGCCACCACGCCCAGCTTCCTCAGGGGCCTTTACAGTACAGCCAGGGTCAAGACACCCCCAGGTATCTGTAGCAACCATACACCTACGTCTGGGAACTGCCTTTTAGGCCTGAAGTCTTACTCGATGTATTTATCTAATCTCCAGTGGGTGTTGGCATCATTCCCAGTTTGCTAATGAGAAATGCAGGTCCAGGGAGACTCAGTGGTTTAAGAGTACAGAGGTCCTAGAAGGCACTAGAGGCCAGATTCCTTCTTCTCCGCCTGCCTTCGAAGATTGCAGCCCCTCTGTGGCCTGTGTGGCTCTCCCAGCCCATGAACAGCCTCAAGTGCTTCTCAGAGGCCCTGAGACCCCAGTGGGAGGCAGGAAAGGCAGTGTGAACACAGCCTGTCCCATATCCAAGGCTGCAGAGGCCAAGGAGGAAAGAGATGACAGCAGGGACACCGGGACAGGCACTCACTGGGGAGCTCCACCAGCACAGAAAGGTCAACACTCAAGGGAGAGAGGATGATGGTTTTTTTTAAATTTTTTTTTTTTCAGTGACAATTTAAATTTGTTTTGTTATGGTACTGGACATTGAACCCAGGGCTTTGTGCAAACCAGGCAGCTGCTCTACCTGACATATACCCCCAGACCCTCCTTTTAAAAAATTTTTATTTTGAGGCCCGCCAAGGTGTCGTCCACCTGTAATCCCAACAGTCAGGAGGCTGAGGCAGGAGGATTGCCATGAGTTTAAGGTCAGCCTGGGCTACAAAATGAGTTTAAGGCCAGCCTGAACTATGTAGCCAAGACCCTATCTCAAAAAAATATTTTATTTTGAAACAAGGTTTCTTGGTACATAGCCCAGGCTAGGCTTGAACTTATGATCGTCCTAAATCACAGCTTCTGAATAAGTGGAATTACAGATATGTGCCACCATGGCTGAAAAAATTTTTAAATAGCTCTTATCTACCTGAATATAAAGGTCAGCCATGCTCAACAAAGAAATGTGAGAACTAAAACATTGGGAGGAAAACCCCTCATGTTTCTATACGTGGAGATAACCACTAAATAACATGTGATCTCTAGATTTTCTTTTCTTTTTTTCTGTAGATGCACAATGCATATTTGTCTGTAACAAATGTGGACTAATGCATTCAGTGCTGATCACTACATCATCCTGCAGCACAGGAAAACCCTCAGTGGGGTGTGTGGCTGCAGGGGCCCCCAAATTGCTGGAAGGCAGCATTGACTCTGAGATCATTATCATGTCCCTTGGTGTCCTTGTGTCCTTGGGGACTGTGGTTCCAGGGTCCCCCAAACATCCCAAACTCCGAGTGCCACAGTGGCATTGTGTCAAGTGGTGGTGTGTATCCCATACGATGTATACAATCCTCCTATGTGCATTAAATTGTCCTCAGATCACATATAATACCAAGTCATGCTGTATAAATCATATACTGTATTTTTTTAGGGAATAATGATAAAGAAAAGTCTTATGTGTTCAGTACATGTGCAATTTTTGTTTTTCGGAATATTTTCATTCCGTGTTTGGCTGCACCCGCAGACTGGAGGCTGTTGGTGCAGAGGCTGCCTGCTCCTGAGGGTGAGCTGATATCACAGCAGGTCCCCAGGAAGGCCTCTGGGCTGTTTTACTTTGGAAAATTCTGCCTTCAGGGCCTGGCTGGTAACTGTCAGAGTGTGGAGCTGTGCTGTCTGCTTTCTTCTCCGCTCTCAGAAGACACCCTGGAGGGCCGGTTTTCCTAAGTGAAGGAGATAAAAGCCAAGTGGCAGGAAGGTGCCTGGAAGCACAGGATTTCTTTCACCCGGCCTTGGGAAGCCTTCTGGCAGCTTCAGCTTTGCTGAGTGCCCACTTGCTCAAGGGCGGAGTGAGCTGCTCTCTGTGCATGCATTGGGCAGGCAGCCCCGGCCAGGGGCCAGGAGAGCTTCAGGTAGTCCCAGTTCTCACCAGGGTGTGGCAGGCAGCACCGACTGTAGGGAACCTGACATGGGAAAACCTCCGAGCCGCAGAAGGAGAGCTTCATGGATTTCCACTCGGGTCTGGTTGACTCTTGGCTTTCTAACAGGTTCTGGGTCTTCCATGTAGAGCAGATTTGAATTAGCGGTAGTGGCTGTGGAGTGCTGGGTAGCAAGAAGTGATAACTCACAGCCAGGGAGGAGACAGAAAACGATAGTAAACATGAAACCGCAGTGCAGCGATCTGGAGCCAGAGCGTGTGGGGGCCCAGGTCGCCGCACACCACACTGTGGGCATCCCTGTGCTTCAGGGATGACACGAGCTGTGGGCCTGTACCCCGCACCAGCAAACGAAATTTAAATCGTTGTCTGTGTATTGCGTCGAGCATGTGCTACACATTTTAATAAACATTTCATCAAAAGCAACGTCTTAAGAGAAGTGTGGGGCTTAACAGTGGAAAATGCATGTAAGAGGAGAGATCCTGCACACCAGGAACTGTGAACACAGCAAGGAAATCAGCTCCTACCATTCTTGAGGACAAAGATACTAAGGAAAGACAACAGCTAAGAGATGAGCCATGGGTGACTGGGAAGGGCTGCTCTGCATCTCCTGGTCAGTGAGGCTCCCTGAGAGGCCACTGAGGCCTGAAGAACAGGGGAGCTGGATGAGAAGACCTGAGAAGCAGGACCTTCCAGGGGTAAGAAGTGCAAAGGCCCTGAGGCAAGAATCAGCAGGGTGTGTTGGGAAGCTCTGTGTGCCAAGTGTCTTAGTTATTTTTTCTGGCTGCTGGGACAAAATACCTGACACTCAAAGTTAAAGGAGAACAGTTTATTTTGGTTCACAGTTTGTAGAAGTTTCAGCCCATAATGGCTGGCCCCAAGGCAGTG